GATGTGCTAGAAACGTACAGGTTAATTCGATTTTTGAGGAAAATAGGTTGGATCGTATAACGTTACTGTATGACTTTACATTTTTCTGTTAATATCATAGGATTCGCTGCAAAATTATTCTAGTCAGTGTTTATATATTTAAACATTTTAGTGTGCTGCTAAAAAGTTGGACAGTCGTCTCACAGTGGATTGCGTCAAATCAGTCTTTATTAAGCATTGTGTCAAAGAAAGATTGTGGCACCTGACAATGCATAAAACTTATTTCATGCTGTTGGTTTTGAAAGACGCAGTAGGACTTCCAGTTGTGGTAATTACAACATGCTCGAGTTAAAATCAGATGTTTGTTTAGGCTATATTTACAACTATTGTGAGTTTGAGGGAGACAAGTCGAAATTGCTTACCACAAATTTTGCATCAAAACATTTCTGAGCACCCAGATATCCGCATTTAAGGAGGTATCCTACGAAAAAATGTCACGCTATTTAACTCAGAGTTACTTGTTGCAGTTCTGAAAAACGTTTATAAGACGGTGCGCAACGAGATAGTAACTTTTAGGAGAACCTCAAAAAGCTTGCCGACTTCTTACAACGAGTTAATAATTTACCCATAATTAAGGTCAATCGTCTTCTACCGCTGAGTATCCATTTTTTGGGATCCAGTGAGGATTGGGATTAAATGAAGTTGACTTGAATAGGATGATGTAGTACCATAATCATCTTACACCTTTGATCACATCTACCTAAGTGAATCGTTAAGCTGTGACACTCCTTTGGTGTTCAGCTGCCATATATTTTGAAGGAAGCGTGTTTACGGAGATACTGCAAAGTTGCCCTGGCATAGACGAAAGCATCTAGATGCTCGAGTTGACTCCAAACCGCGGATCCTCCTATGAATAAGTTTGCACGTAAACCACTGAGCTATTCCGAGCTAGGGCAAGCTATTGTTTACCTAACTGATCAACTCTACTCAACGTCTGAAATTTGAGAATCTTTCTAGAACACAAGCTGAGTTTAGTGCGACGAAACCAGGTCACAACAAAAATTATATTTGGTTGTACTTTGAGATACATGTTTGAACAAGGATATCTAAAAAGAAAATGCGAAAATTTAAGACAGAAAACCAAATGCAACTAGGATTGTTTTCTACCGGAGCGTATTGTTAGTAAGGCTGCAAAAATGTGTCAAACTATGAAAGGAGGGTATATCACAGTCGAGAGGCAGAAACGCCATCATCTACCAAACAAAATTTTAGGGCACAATTTTCAGCCATTTATTAATTAGAAATACTAGAATACGAATAATCTATTGCATCTGAACGAGGTCTATAAAGCTGAATATCATGCTGATAATCCTAAAACTTTTCCACTGTTGTACGGTTTAGCTGCTTAGAACTTGCGTCATTATAATAGAAAGAATGAACACAAGGACAATTGGAAATGGTATGAGAAGAAAACCTTCCCTAGCCAGTTGCAAGACAGTGGCTTTGACCAGTTATGGAGTAGTCCTCGCAAAATACAAAGCAAAAGATGCGTGGGGTCTTCAATTTTTACGAACTGCTCAAATATGCGGATAAAATTTGCCTCAAGACAAACATACTTCACAATTGCCAGGCGCATTACTAAGTTGTTTCAGGGGAAAGTTTCATTTGGCCATATAGAGAAATAAACATTCTTTAGATCAATTTCTGTAGATTGAAAGGCTTAACATAACACCAACAAAAAGACTGTCAAGTATGTGCACCTAACAGACAACTTAATGTTTTCTCAGAAGTTCAGGCATACTAGAATGAGTTGGAGTAAACAATGAAGGAGAAGAATGACATATTGATGTTGAGCTTAAATAATCCATTGTGCGCTTCTTAAGCGGGTGCTGGAAGTCACAACTGGCAAACCCAGCATGCCTAGTTATATTTCCGTGGCCGAATTTCACATGTGGTTCGCTGATTTCCCATCTATTCTGTAAACAGGCACTTGTTGTCAGCGCCAGCATTGGACAACTTGTGTGATTTCCTTAACTAGACAAAGGTCGATGCTTGTTGGATACTCATAGGACTTCTCTGTAGAAACTTGGTGGTTAGGTAGTAGAAATAGATTCAGCGAATCTTGAAAAGTAAAGTTACAGAACGGGTAGAACATATACATTTAAATCATTACCTACCGGATATCGGAGAGGACAGTAGAGCACCAGTTTGGTTAGCCAAATTTTCATGGCTTGCTTCTATTCCGGAGCCGATTTTTGCTCGTGGTGCAGAATTTTCATTATGTTTTAGAATATTTCCACGTGGCTTCATTACGTCGACCTGATTAAAAAAGCTATTTATCCGCTCAGATCTTCAATGGGCTTTTCAGTTCAACTTATTTAATTATTGTACTGCTGACAATAGAGAAAACTCAGCTTGTTTACCACTGGGTTAATAATAAGCATATTTTCCGTATCTTATATTAAACAGTATTAAATCATCGAAAACTCGCTTAAAAATGCAAGGGAAGTTATATTTAAAAATACAAATGGATGAAGAGAAAACTGAAGTCTTCCCCTGTGGAATGAGAATAATTTGACGATGCCTAGAATGGTCTTTTCCTGGGAGTCCACAATATATCGGAGTTGGACCGATTCAAATGAAAAAAGGTTGCTTAGCTCACTTTATTTTATGCAGGCTTTGTTCACGTTGCTTTTGTGGCCCATTACTCCGCACACACAGATCCAGAGCATACTACACAGGGAAAACTAACCAGATGAATATCTCACTTTTGGTGTTATTCAGCCAAACTTACTGTAACAGGCTGCCTCATATTTCAATTGGTATGATATTCAAGATGCTACAGGACATTGTGTAGACGTAATACACCACTCATGAGGCACCTGAAATTTCTTTGACACCCCACGAATGATTTTGCCACTCTCAGGGCTTACTAGGGAAGTATAGTCTCTGAGGTACCATCAAATTTATGTTACTTTTGTTTTTCTCTTCCCAACAAAACCGAATTGATGTTCAGGTAAGTGTATAAATCAAATTTTTTGCAATATGGGTTTAAGTAAAACATGAGGATGACGGAAACTCGAGGAATATGACTACCTGATTTGCCCCAAGAAGGGTAAGATCGATGATGGGCCGTCGAAGAGTTTTCAGCAAACTTATGCGTAGTGCATTACGTCTATAAAACAGCGTCGATTTTGCTGCTACACCACTCGAAGAGAGCTGCCAATGCTGCCAAATCGGATTTGTTTATCTGTGAGCTGTTTCCGAAAACTGTTTTTAAGTGCATAATGCCTATCAATAGTACGTACACATAGCACACACAGCGCGTCCAAACAGACAGGACCAATCTGTTTGTCTCCAGCCTCTGAAGTTGAGCTTTGGGAAGTCAGTAAAAATGGTGGAAAGTGTGCAATTTTTTCCAGCACATTATCCAAAAGTAGCCTTCCTTTTGGGCAGATGGGGCATTTTAACCTGATGGTTTTCAAGGTTCACTTTTAGGCAATTTTTTCACCATTTAAGGATAGCCTTAAATGACTTTTTTGCCCACCTCAACAACTCACCTAATTTCCAGAGAATCACCATACTGGATTTAGTCATAAGTTGCTTCTTAACTTTAGCTCCAAAGTATGCCCGTTATACATGAAGTACCACGAGGTTATTCTGTGACTGAACCTGACTACCCGGACTGGGATGACATTTGAAATGTTTTGTTGGATTCTCACACCGTAACTCCTTCCACAGGAACTCTATTTTCGGGAAAGATTAGCTGCAATGCGTGCGGCTAACTGCTTCAACACCAACGTTACGAATAAGCGGCAGACGATTGTCTTTTTAGAGTAATTTTTATTAGTGAATGACGACGGAATGTTAAAGCTCATGAGGTTTGCGCAACTGTCAGTTTCTTGCCAACATTTTGTACACAATTTGCAGCGCCTTTGGAGGTAAGGGTGTCACTTTCGCCGGCTGATCATAAAAGTGGTAATCCAGTAAATTTAATTCGCCATGTTTCGTTTCCTTTTGTCAATGTGTAGCCTTGACCATCAGTAGAGATGGTGGCTTTTCAAGTGTTGAATCTTCTGTTATGAACCAAATCCGCCTCCGTCAAAGACTGTCAAGCTCTTCATGTTCCATATTAGCCAGCCTGTGCGGTTTACTTTTGATTGCAATTTTTAGGCTTTCACTGTCATGCCTTCTGATGCGTTTTGTGACGCGCTGATAGATAAGTGTTTGGGTGGGGTGAAGTATAAATCAGCTTGCTAATAGCACTGCTTGCAGAGTCCAAAGAGCATGGGATGTCTCATGGCATAAATTGTAGATAAAAGAGTGATTGCCAATTCATTCGCTTCAGCTAGATTTATGATCGAATGCTGGATAGTGGATGATTATTCCTTCACAAACAAATATGTATAATGGGTGTAATAGTGCAGCGGTGATACTACTGACGGGGGGCATTCGAGTAGTATAATTTCTCGTAAATCCGCTTTGCGTCTCTTGAAAAGTGAGATCTATTACGGGGTTTGCTGAGTCTCGCTATAGCATTTTTTTGCGACTTAGTAACGGTCAATGGATATCAAGGAAAGTTCAGGAAGACGCCTTCAAGGAGGAGATGGATATTCAGTTTTGTAAACAAGATGCATATGAGAGATTTTCTCCCCTATCCAATAGTTTGTAACTGTTCAGTTGGCATTTTCTATTAAATAACTCCGCAGCGAACACCTTCCACCTTTCACTAGAAATGAGAGAAGCTGAAAAGTGGGCATCTGCACTGGAGGACTATTATGAAGTTTCAATAAAGATGTGCGAACTCAATCTTGCTTAACTCACGTTTGGGCGATCTACCTCTGAGAGTGGTTTTCGGCTATGCGTTCTACTTGAGTTTCAGCAAACAAATTAGGAGATAAGCCTAAAATAGGGATCCCGTAGGGTGACCGTATATGGGCATGAACCTACTAATAATTCTGGCCTTGCAATGTTGGCCTACTCTACCACATTGCTATCGAGCTACCTTTCCTTTTTTACAGAAACCAATTGTGTTCCATCCTGTGGAGAACTTTGCTCGGTTTCTACTTGTTCCAATACCAAGTTCGTGTGCTCCAAACATTTATTCAAAGGGAAGAAAGGCCACTGCTAGAAGAGAGGACAAATCTTATGCAAGTGTCGGTAAATCTGAAAGTTCGAAAAATGTAGTGCGACCGAAAGCAGAGGTAAGGTAATGAAAAGTTGAAAGAAGAGAACTATCGTGAGAGATGTGCGTTAAAATTCATCAGATTTGTGAATCAAGATTTTTATATAAAGCCCATCTTCGCTGTAGACAGGGACCTGATTTTGTTCAGGTAAAAATAACAAGTCACAACTCCAGTAAAACTTAACTGATTGGAAAATAACAGGATGTATTTCATTCAATCATTTTTTGTTAACTGCTTCCACTTCCGTTGCATACGTGATAGTCTTAACTGGAGCGCATAAAATTTTTTAATAGATTATATATGTCTGCCTATTCTCCTGGGCTGCTTCCTTGAAAACGTTTGTAAATAAGTAATGCTTCGCCTTCCGTGGCGTCTCTACAGGTCTAGAGAACAACATTCAAATCTCCTCAAAGAAGCCAATGAATAAGCAAATGTAACACTTCATGTTAATGTTACTGTTTTATCTATATGAGTTACTTAACAGTTCTGATCATCCTTGTGCATTTTTTAGGTCCAGCCAACAACTTCGGAGAGAAATCGCTCAAGATCAATAGCTGCTCAGAGACCCGTGCAAATAAGCCTGAGGAGGTTAGCCGCTGCGATGCGCAAGGCATTCTCGGGCTTGCCACTGACCTATGTGCCCCTAGAGGAGCAAAATGTATACGCGAACTCCTACAGTGTTTTTGTACTGTACGAAAGGTAGGCCAATGCTCAATTCGCCACAGATTTAGTACCAGTGATAAGATGTCATGGCTTTTTTGCAAAAGATGTTAAGTTCATCCCGTGGAGAGCAGAGTAGTGTACAGTGCATAAAAATTGTTTACCGTTTTTAAATAGTCAGAAGTGAAATAATTGCCAAAATTTTCAAAAACTTTGCGTCACTTGATCTTGGGTAATTTCTCTTACCGGCACCTAAGACGTGAGGCCTCCATCATCTTACTCTGGTAATATAAATTTTTTTAACTCACGATGGCATTTGTCATATATATATGTATATAACATTACGTAGGCTTCCTGCAGATGACGCTAAAAAGGATATACATTACTCGCATAAAACAGTCTTGAGTACTCTTAGAATATCAGTGGGTAGCGCTTATTACGTGTATTTACTGAATTCAATCGGTAGCTTGTACTCTTTTAACCAGGCATCAAGTCATATCTCGTGACCAGCCAAACCCGTATTTGTCAGATGATCACAAATAGGGGCCAAATAAATCACAGAGTGCACTTACTTACGCAATTGAACTATTTGACTACAACACGCTACGTAAGCTAACCAAAAGTGCCTCTCGTGTGTTAAGATATGATACAAACGAACCTCAGTCAGTTTCCGCACTTTGTTTTGTGTGCGATTGGTATATTTTTCCCTGTTGAGAAAAGAGATGGTCTACCCAAAAGTTAGCAAAAACAGACAGGCTCTGCAACACAGTTTAGATGGTCTGAACACAGCATGTGGAGATAACCAACGAGTATATGGGATCTACCTTACAAATGAAGACGAGACCGTCATCCGTCAGATGGTTTATACAGATGTAGTCTTCTAAAATATCTGCCAGTAAAGTGCTGTTCAGAACCCCAAAAGAAAAGCAAAAACATCCATGGACAAAATTTGCTGGACATCACTTGGAGTCAAGCAGACTGAAGAGACTAATATTCGTCGACTCACTTTCTTCATTCGAACCGAAGGCTTTCATATCGTCACAAAAACAAGGTCAACATTTTTGAACGGTTAAATTACCATTCAACTGAGACGCTTGTATTCATCGCAAACGAATTATGGTGTATATACCACTCAGGTGTGTTGTGAGAACCACTGGTCAGACGCTTCATTGTTCTTACAATACTTGCATACATAAATGTCAAGAGCCCTCATTCTAAACCGATTTTATTCTCTACTACCTTCACACTTCGGAATTTCGGCTGTTCATGGCCTGTGCAGAATAAAATCCTCCTCAGCTAATTATCAAAATAGGATATGTTTGAAGAAGACTCACAGTTCAAAGCCTTCAAATAGTTTGTAATTAAAACATGCTCATATTTGTGAATGAGGCCAACTAATAAAGAAGAAGGAAAAGGCCTTTTTAAAACTTACACAAATTTCGACAGGTGGACCAAAATGTACTCCGTTGAAAACCATGTCCTTCTGTTCCCATAGTTCGGTTACGTCCTGATGGATTTTTGCCAGTCTTTATACGGAGTGATTAGATTGATCAAACAGAAGCTTCAACATGCACCATGCGCAGTCTTGCTTTTGTAAGTTATCAACAACAAATGTGCGTCTGAGTGACTGGAAGCAAGCCTATAGGCATTCTTTTGGTTGTTGTGACACGACGTTTTACCAATCGCTATATGCACCAGAATAGTTTGTCTATTTTGTTTTGAGATAACGTTAGGCAGTCGAGAACATGTGAGGAATCGGCACAATGGAAGTGAATTGCTGAACACGCGGCGTCTAGGTAATCGTATAAATACTCTAAGACATTTCGGATTGTTTGCTAATGGAAGGGAGTTTTTAATTTGGTCGATTCATGCTAAATGCCAGCCCTATTGAGAGGGATTTCAGAAGTCAAGGATCTTAGTGGTTAATGAAAAAATTCTCCTATCTCATTTGTTTGTGGTTTGAGCTTGGTGCAAAATGATCTAGATTCGAAGCTGTCAATGTGATGGAAACATGCAAACTTATGCATTCGAATTTTGATTGTCAAGGTTTTTGCAAAATAACGTAAGTAAAGTTTATAGATGGGACTTATCAAATATAAAGCACTCAGTGTGAGCGTGGATACATAAAGTCATTTGAATCAACAAGGAATTTACATTTCACCGTTCGTAAATAGTAACTGAATGAATCCATTCCAAATATCGATTTAACTATGTAATTCGCTCCGCGCCACTCGCGTCCATATTCTTTTGACGGCGCGCGTCTTCGTTATCACTATATTCTTTTCCGGTGGAGTGAAAAACACCCGTTCTAGTGATATCTTCACTGGGACAAAATCGATATTTAAAGCGAGTCTAACTTTGGAAGTGGCAAAGCTGTCACACCCTTAAAAAAGAGCCAGCTGGCACTCGATCAACCGCAAATTCTTCCAGAACAAAGGGAGCTGGCAACCAAAGCCTTAAGGAAGTTTGCTTTTGATCCTACTTGCACCCGTGGCCTTGGGTGTCATTCATTTTTCCGGTATGTATGTATGACGAGTTGATGGCTTGTATGCAAAAAGTGATATCCAGCAGAGTCATGCAGATTTATTCAGAGATAATGCATCCAAAGCTTTTGAAATTATTAGTTATATGTGCCAAATGATTGAGTCAAACAAAACCGCGATCACTGAAAGCAAAAGTGAAGGGTGTTAAATAGTTGTGGTACGATGCACGGTTTGTTGTACTGGTAAAGATATATAGTTTATTTCCAAGTAATATTTATTTGTACGGCTTCGTCAGCTTAGCTAGGAGTTGCAATTTGAGTGGATAAAAATAGCATTCAAGGAACAAACTGCTTGTACTCGGAGGATAGTGTGGGTTGTTTTCACGCCTCAACTGTGTATGTATTGAGCCTAAAGCCTGAAGCTCGGATCGTCAAAAAATTGGGGCTCTTTGCAGTATTGTTCGATTGAAGACGATGCTACATTAGGAGAGGGTGTGACAAATACATTTCATTACCCCACGGCAGGTTTCTAAAGGTACAAAGCCAAATAAACATGTTTTGCTACAAAGACAAAAGTTAGATTAATACTATTTTACAGAAATTAACCTTTCCGTATAGCCCTGGGTAAGTGGTACTAACAGAAAACCTTCTAAGTAAGTGTGAAGCCTCTAGAAGAACTGCCGCACTTAGTAGGTACACACAACTGAACGTATAGTAAAGGATATCAACAGAAAAGCTGTACCGAAATTTAGTGTATCATTAAAATAGTATATTTTCATTAGTTGCTTTCAAGAATTCGGTCATATGCGTATAAAATAACCGGAAGCTCCCGTCAAGCTTGTGCGTTTTGTGCTGGTTCGCCAGTGACAAAACAGACGCTTAGGATATTCATGCACTCAGTTCAAAAGCAATCATGAAAACTCGGAATAACTTGAGTTCGACGTGTTTGCACAAGCTTAATCTTTGCAATTTTTGGCTGAATGTGCACAGTGATTTAGTTCACTGATTATGCCAACAGATGCAGGCCTGAAAATACAGTGAAAGTCCGTTAGATAGGGTTATTACTTCAAGTAAAACAGTTACTGAACTCCTGGCAACGTCGACCGCTTTCTCTCCCTTTTTCTCAGAGTTGCACTTGAGTAACTTCTTGAGCCTGAAAGACTGGTTGCAAGTAACCATAAGTAACCATGTTCGATAGCTTAAGGCAGAAAAATTGTGAACATAATGCAATTAAATTATAATTATTTTGATCAAATTATGTACTGTTTGTTTAACCTCTCGGTGAAACGACTGCGATCTAGCAGCACACAAACTCTCGTGTATCTACGCCAAAATAATGGCTGACAATGTGCATTTTGTTTAAAATATATTTTTCGGATTCGTTACACACTAGCCCTGTGGATGGAATTTGTAACTGGTAACAAGCGGTATAAACCATCCACAAGATCATTTAAGACAGACATGTGTGACATATTGTTGCCAGGTTTAAGACAGTGAACGGAGAATATAAAACTTGTTTTGCTAGAAGAATGCATTGAGCGAAAACTGTGACGGCTATCGGATACATGCATTTTCACTTGCAATATAAATGGCATTTCTAGGTTTAGCTTGATCAACCAAATTCCATCCGCAGGAACTTGGTCATCTGCGTATTCCCTCAGCTTTTTTAAACCTCTCATTTCATTCTAATGCCACAACTAGCTTTGAGATTTGCATTTAATGGCTATGCTCAGCGTCCCTATTCATTTATACCTTGGATGTTCATCATTGACTATTTCCGAAAAAAATTACAGACAAGTGGACGAAAGACTTTGTCCAAATCGTGTAATACACACAGACGACACACAACAGTGGCTAGCTCATTGTGAAGGGACTGTTGAACACCGTCGAATACATTTCCTCAACATTGCTCCACGTGACCAGGCTGGCAAATGTGAAAAACGCGAGGCTACTGATTTTCTGTAAGTGGTATAAAATGTATGCATTCAGCCTGACAAGAGTGTCGGTTTTGGCCGTTTCATTGACCAACGCAAATGAATACAAAACAGTGTCTTGTTCTAGCTAACAAAAGGCAAGGTCACTGATTTTTTAATGGGATTATACAATGCCGGTCGATAGATACTACCTATTTGGATGATGTCTTATATTGTATATAAGCGTGATATTACTGACTGAATAAAAGGAAGGTAACTCAGACGAAGGCAGGTTACAAGACCGGTAAGTTTCGGCGGAAAATTATTTGTCCGAAGAAAAGCAGACTTTTGTGCAGCGTGAAGATTGTTGTAACACACTAATAAAAATGATGTTGGTTCATCAGGAAGTAAATCCGTGAAAAAAACTGTCGTAATCACGCTACTGTTTGGCACAGAGTAGTATAACCTTACATGTAATGGTTACCTGTTCCGATGAATGAACCAGGTTGATTTCAACTTAAACGAGCGAAAAACCAATGTGAGAAACTCACATTATATTTAGTTGAATTTTTTTAACTGTTTTTAGGCATACGGTGGTATTGCTTGTAAAATAGGGAATGGAGATAAGGAACATACTGGTTGCTTAAACATAAACAATATAAAACGCTCGCAGCAACTATCATAAACGTCATTTAAGTTGGGCCAAAGCATGCATCTGCACTTTGGTTTAGCACCATGACAAAACTTGGGTGAGAGGGGAATGGGGTTTCTTTGGGAGAAGAATATTTGCGTGTCGCTTTTTGATGGGGCTATCAATAAAGATGTCAGATAAGTAATCTGCTTTCCCCAAGTAAAGATTTTTGAAAATAGCATAAAACAAAAGTTAAGTTGAATGGCTAAGTCTAGAACGGTTTTGCTGGGTTCAGTCAGTCAGCCGAGTAGTTTGTTCAAAAGGATGTCACAAACGTCCACAGTGCAGTAGGAATCCAAAATGTCAAGAAGAGAAGAGGACTTGTAAACTGGAGACATTCTCTGACTATTTGCGTCAGATGATCATCATGATTGTGATCGTTGACATTTGTTCGCACAGTGGAAAGAGACTACTGTATAAATGTCACAATTTCCTTTTTTGTAAAGAATGCAAACAAGGGATGTATTTTTTGAGAAATGTCACATCGTTTTGGAAAGCTCAAACAGTGGACCACGGCGATTTTTTTTACCAAGTTACCACACCCGGTAACCAGGAAGCCAATGAGTTGCACTGGCAGGAGCCTGAGAATTATGCTAGAAGCGTAAGTTTGGTAACAATAAGTGGGTTTCGGTGCAGTTGGCCACCGTACCATGGTATTCCTTAGTGCTCGGCACAGTGAAAATTCGAAGTTATAGAAAGTCTCAAGATATCATTGATGTCGACTTACTGTAGGTTCACTTTGCAAAACGAAGCGATAATATCGTTTTTGAGAGACTAAGCTCGATTACAATCGTTTTACTGCCTTCAGTGTGACACGCAAATTTATCCACTAGGAGCTGCTTTTACAGAACGCCAAAAGTGATATTTGCTGCTTCTTCCTATGCGGTGGGTACCTGTTTTATTAGGCATGGAGCTTTCAACTAGTCTTATTTTTTGAGTAATTAATTAACGAAATTGGTTCAGTTACTCAGTTACTAATACGAATCTTACCAGGTACCGGCTCACATGAATGAGAAAAAAAGTAATGGCATATAAAAACAGTTGAGAAAGCAATTTAGTATAAATGAGTGTATGAAATGGCATCTTTTAGCATCACACATTAAGTTTAACGTACGATGCGACTAATGCACTGTTAGCTTAAACTGACATTTGGTTCTGCCTTAGGGCCATCATCCACAACATTCCAAGTTAAAAGCAAGGTTATTCGCTTGGATGGTAGAATTATTTAATTGTCACCCATATTGATAGATTTCTTGATTCGGACAAGTGCTGAAAGATTCAGATTGGATTACATCTGAACTAATTGAGCCACGCGTGTAGATAATTGGGAACAGTCAGACTGGTTGGAGGAGAAAAGTATGAAACTTTTGTCTGGAATCCTATTTCTAGAGTGAATATGTACGTTTGTGTGTCTAAATGTTTTTTTGTATTGCGTCGACTGTCCTTTTATAAGAATGACTCCTCAATGTACTTGTGACTGATCGATGAAGTCATCGCCACTCCGTGCTGGTCACGACCTTCAAATTGATAATGTCTGGTCTGGACCAAACAATACCGTAGTTTTACTGTACTATCAATATCAGATAATATAAGTTATGTTTGTTTAATATGTGGGGGGTGTTAAGTACCTGTACTTGGTCATCAGTAGCCAGGTATGCTTTGTCGAACTGGGCAATATGTTTGTGCTATTTAGTTTACCACCTGCCAGGAGCGCTTTAAGAGAGGAAACCCAATGCCGTGTCCCAGGTTCACGAAGCAAGAGCCATTATTTCAGAAAGTGGAGCGAGTACCGGAAAGGATTGTGCCCATCAACCAACCCCCGAACATGAAACGTTTAGCTTTAAGCCGGCTGTAAATTGTATGTATATGAGTGTATTTAAGAGGGTAATTAACCCGCTGGTCTGATTAAGGGTCAAAGTTTTATGAGCATAATTCTACCAGGGACTGAGTCTGAAGATATTGTTCCTCCACGTGGGTTAACAGCTATAAACTCGAGGAAGCTAAAAAATGTCTGGGACGTTATAATATAACCAGTAAAACCGTGAGCTTGAAATTTGCAATTGTTGCCAGATTTAACGAAATAGTGTGTTTCTAGGGTCGATTGAGAAGTCACAATGGTCCTATCTTAAGAAGAGGTGATAGTGCCCCATGAAGTTTTGAATGATCACTTCGTTATTCAGAAAGAAGAAATGGTTAAATAAGCAGCAGTAGAACTGGGTGCATGGTTTCCGCTTTTTAACCTAACATAAAGAGCTCTCTTGCTCAGAATAAGCACCCAGACCGCTGTCATCCTGATGGAAAAAACGAATGGGTTTAGTGTAATAATTACCAGCAAACTGTCAGGTTGTCTTAGAACGGCTGCACATGCCAGTGAGGACAACGCAAGTATTAGGAATGGGTTTAAATCCCTTTAGATTGCGTACTGCGTGATACGTATTTTATACCGCAGAGGTTGTAGAAAGAATCAAATGGGAAAGAAGTAAAACACACTTGCCTGTTACTTTGAGGACTAGACAGAGCTTTTCGAAACATCCGATACTAAATAGCTGAGCTAGTAGTTGGCGGCCATGTGCACGAGGTGACTCACCAGCCCCATGTCCAGCTGAAAAAATTCCCCTGTACTTGATCAGAAGAACATTTTGGAGAGACAACGTTAGAGCATTACACAGAAATGATGAATGAAGGGTTTTTAGTTCAATCATAACTCGAGTATCACACAACTCTGTTTCCGGGAAAGCACCTTCCTATCATCTGCCACGATTAGACATTCTGCATATGAAATCCTGTTTAGCAGTATACGACTATCGGGATCCAGCCCCTTATTCGTCTGAATACATGAAATTTATTCAGCTTTATTCTCTATACATAGTCGTAAAGGATGCTTGTACAGTGTCTTGAAGCGATATCTGGTGATATAATAAGGCAGGGCGCTTTAAGTTTGGTGTATCAGAGGTGCACTTCTAATTTATCATTCTATGCCTCCCCTATGTCCTAACCGATCATTCTTTTGGTAGCACTGCTCATCCGAACGTAATTAAATGTGGCTGTCGGGTTTAACTGAGTGGAAAGACCATATTTATCCGAAAGTAATACGTCGCCATGTTATATGATTCTTGAATGAAATAGTTCCTGTATCATGACTTAGCTAGCAAACGCGACCTCAAAAACAGTTGAACCTATCTTGTGGAGTATTCGTCCATCTTACTTTCGAATAGGTACTCTGCTGCTAGTATAGCATCGGCAAAGCCCACTTTTACCTGATAGCGAATGGCCTATTTAACTACAATATTAATCCAAAAAATTCACAAGCGGCTTTCACTTTGTAGATGTCACACGGAATTACTTGGAGTCGAAGATAAATCGGCGCAAAACAGCAATAAACGTGTTTTTGATGCGCATCACAATTTAGTACTTGCACAAAACTGATGAAATATTTTAGCATCAAGACGGTAGTATGTCAACGAAAGGTTTAAAGCCGAGAGTACTTAATATACTGGGCAAAAACTAAGGCAAGAGAGGCATCCTTTGTTATTTACTGCGTTGTTCCATCAGAAGCTGATGCTTCATTGTTTCTCAGTTGCCGTCCTGTTATTGTTATGGTATTCTGCTATTATCATTTATTTTTGAAGAGCAAGCATACAAACATAAAAAGTGAGTGCAAGCGATGAATGCGAAGGAGTAACAGGAGAATATGGGAGAAAAGAGAGAAACGTCTCATTTGAGATCATGCCAAGGGCAGTACCAGTCTGATGAGGTGAATCCCAAAGTATGTAAAGATTTTGGTATGGGAAGACGCGTCTAAGGACCAACAACCAAAGAAAGGACAAACAATGGTGAATGCTCTTCAAGGCGCAGTGTGCGCTAGCACAGTCAAGACTCGCACATCAGGCACAAAGTGACCGTCATACTGGGTCTGGTGTGAGATTAAATGGCAAAAATGTACCTTCAACACCATGTACAACGCATAAAAGTGTCATAAGTACTCAGGGAGCCCACAATGGCAAGCAAACACAAGTCACTGACTGAGACCTTAGGAAGTCCCAGTCCAATAACAGCCTTAGCGGATTGAGGAAAGCAGATCCCTCGATAAGAGATGATCACCGGTTGGTGAACCAAAAAGTCGATATCA